TATGTGTAATTCTAGTAGAAACTTACCTCTAAAGATTTGACATTTCTACTGAAAGTCTTTTTTGTCCCAAGACAGTCGAGTATCAGCTTTTAAATTGTAATTTGTATAAAAAATTGTTCACCAAATACTGTTTTAATTTCACTGCATGTGTTGGTCTTTACATTAAAGGTTAAAAAAGATTCCATGGTTAAAAAGTTCCATAGGTACAAAAACTTCAAAAAGCCATTTTAAACAGGCACAGTTAAGAATGGAGGGGCTTTTTGGTAGCATCTGTTCCAACTGCAGCATAGATTGTAATAACAATCTAAAAATAGATATGTGGTGTCTAGCACCAAAGTCAGCAAAAATCCTCTCATATACATTTCAGCCCTTTATGTTTGCCTCAGGTCCAGCAGGTTGAGCTTCACAAAATCATACTCAGGCTGACTGTCTTTATTCTGACAAAAAAGAAAACCGAGCTAATGCTTAGGGTCCATTAACCTCTGTCCCACAGTCACAGACAGCAAGGTAAAAAAAAAGGGGACAACAGTCTGGTTGTGCACTGGTATAGGTCAATTTACATAATTATTTCGAATAACCTTTCTTTTCTTTGACATAAATAAACAGATCTTTTAGTAAAGAAAAAACATTCAGGAAATGTTTCTTTGTGTCAAAAGTGCAAAAAATATTTGACAAAAGTTAATTTTTCTTAAGGATGATCCAATAGCTCCTGGCCCTATAAACTGAATAAAATACAACCCAATGGCTTCCAATGAACATTTGCCAGAACGCATAGTTTCAAAACAGTTAACAGAAATTAAAGCTCCAGTGTGTATTTATTACAGGGATTTACGACAGGAATGTAATATATTATCCATATGTATGTAATTTATTATCAAATATGAACTAAAAGTCTCAATCTTATGTTTGTGTTGACAACTAGTAGATGGCACTGACAATTACACACTCTAGCTTTAAATTACACCCAATTAAGATATACATTACAAATTATTAAGCTTGACAACAAATACAAAAGGTGACAAAATTAAACATGAATCTCTTTGTCAGATTTGATTTGAAATATAATTTTAAATATACTTATTGCAAAGAAAACACAGATCTGATTTTGATGCTCACCACAGTTATAAATGGCACCTACCATCTGTCAAGGGTAACTAATAATATATATAACTTGTATAACAAACACAGCTAGGAACATAATAACTTGCTGATCAAAATTTATTTCAGGATTAAATAAGCAAATTTTGAAAACTTGTGATAATGTATTTTGAAGAATTATTATTTTTTTTTTTAATAAACTACCATTATTTAAATGAAATAATGTCTAATGTTTAAAGCAATCCCTGTTCTTGTAACGTTACTCTTCATATCAGATCTGTTCAGCATGAGAATTTTTTCCCCCACTATTCTGTTTGTATGAGTTCCCTTTTTCTAAAGAGAGGAAAGGAAAAAAGATGTAACATTTGCAAGGTCAAAGGAGGAGTTTCTGTTGTGGGGAGGGAAAACAGTTTAGTTTCTCACACTTGGAGGGAGCTTGCTATGGGGTTTTCTTAGGGAAAAGGAGGATTAATATCAAGAAAACATTTAGCATTATTTACCACTAATAAAATCACAGCTTTAAGTCCCACTAGCCTTCAAATACTGAATGGATTGGGTATTTATCTTCTCCTCCGTTTGGCGTGAAAGGCATGAAGCATGAATTTCCATGCAAGAAGAGTAACTTTGCCTGCCATCACACCTCTGTGTCTACATCAGCGGGTAGGTAATCAAGCATGGATTTCCAGTTTTCTTAGATATTGCCGGTTTTTCTGAAATGCTAACGTCAGTTTCTGCTCTGGATTTAGATTTCATTTCAAAAAGTGCTAGATGAGGTCCATCTTAAGCACCTTTCAAGGAATAATTTAGTTTCGGATCTACTTATGATTTTTGTATACATCTATCCAGTAACTTTGTTTTATCTTATCTTTACACGTTCCAATTTCTCTGTTTTCTAGAGGTAGTTTTACATATAACTCTAACTATTGCTTAATATATAACTCTGACTGCTGAAAGTTATCTTGGATGTTGTAGCAAATAATGGTTTTTAGGGTTCTGGTTAAGAAATGTGATGCCTGTTTTTTACTCCTGCCTTGTAAAAGCTGTTTAATTTCCCTTTTGACATTAAGCATGACTACTAAGGATTCTCCTAAATTGATACAAAAAAACTCAGCTTTTATCCACCCGACGAAACTCATAATTCCCTCCAGCAGCAACTTTGATGCGCAAAGCTATACGTAACCGGGCTCCATAATTGCTACATGATGACCTTTTTCAATTATTTATCTGCCAATCTATGTTATTATATCTCTCTAGCTATTGCTTTCCACTACCTTGTAGTAGAGATGGTAGGTTTGCTACCATAGGCTGAGCTGGCAATACAACTGCCTGTGGTCGTTATAAGCAGCAGCTGGTTGTGAAGCCCTGCAGGAATCTGAAACCATCATTTTTTCCAGTGTTCTAACATGACTGGGGAGAAGTGTGGGGGGATAATTCTGATAGTTGTCTAAGTCCAGGCTGGAGGCCAGCTCCTCACCTTCTCACCACGAAGTGACAAAACCACAGCTGCGAGAGTGTGCTTCAAGGTTCAAACTTAGGAGGCTAATTGGCAAAATGGCACACACTGTACTGCCCTTGAGATAAGAAGGTCTAATGGAGGAGTTTGTATTCAATGAGACTATATTTAGTGCCATGTGGTAAGTATCTCACTATACAGTACTCTGACTTGTCGGGCTGACTTTACAGCAGGTAATGTAGCAATGCTTTGCACCATGTTTCACTCATCGGCTCGGCCAGACGTTTTGTCAGATCATCAGATTAGATCACTGGTTCTTCTGGGTGTCTATTTTTGTTTTGTATTTTAACTGTGGGTTGTTAATGCTTATAGGTATTCAAATTAGAAAATTACCATGACTTATCTTGGCTTACAATGTACTTATAAACAATTTAAGATGGATGTAGCCTCTCTTTACTTAATCAATAACTCAATAGTTTCTGAAATGTTCAGGCTCAAAAGTGTTGGAGATGGATATAAGATAAAATTCCCATTACTTTGAGTCATTACTATGAAGTCATATTACAGAATATATTTGTTAAATTTAAAGAAAAAAATATGTTTTTGTCAGTTGTAAAACTTTGCACAAGTATTCAAACAGCTTTTCCACATTTTGCCACATAACTAACATTACAGCATACAATTTTTAAAGAATTTACTGTATTCAATTACCACTTGATAGTAAGGAAATTGCAAAGTGGAAGGACAATTATGCATTTTTAGATTATTCATCAAATAAACTTCAGTTTGAGGTGAGGACATTTTTTTTTTTACAGCTACAAGACCTATGATTTGCGTAACTAAATACAGCTTTTGTTGTTGTTTCCCCATTCTTCCTTGAAAAATATACGTTTTAAGATTTTTGGTCTGGACTAGGCAATTGTTACACATGAATATGCTTTTATGTGAATAATTTCTTTGTAGGTCTGATTGGTTTAGGTTTGTTGAACACATGGAAGTGAAGCCTCTTCTTCAGTGTGAAATCTTTTGCCACCTCGTACCATACCTCTTTTTTTTTAACCATTTTTTTCCATCGGAGAAAGGCAGTTCCATAGTGCAATGTTTCTTTAAGAGTCATACTGTGGAAGAGATTTGTTTTTTAGGATTTTCTGCTTTCTACCAAATAGAAAGTCAACTTTTCTAGCTCTCTGAATGATCTGTATGCATTTTCATAATCTTTGAAGTTGCTGTTTTGCTGATCTCTAACAAATCTCTCAGGTTTTCACAGAACAGCTGGATTTGTATTGGAAACAAATAAAACACAGCTTAATGGTGTATTATAAACAATTCTCTATCATTTGAATTGAAGTATGAATACTTTTGGAGCCCACCATATTACTTACTGTACAATTATTTTGTGAACCATGGTTTTAAAATCGTTAATAGCAATTCATGTCATAATGCTTTATTATATTTAGTTCACATTAGTGGTGCATTTGTGATTCTTTATACAATGTCTGCTTAATATGTAAAAGGTCTTTGATAACCAGGGGACCTTTCCATCTGTAGCACTAGCTTTAGCTGGATTTGGCTGACTTGTTGTCTACTTTGTATGCTTGGACATGTAAATCTGTTGTAGTCTATCCACACTGGCATGACTGAGTATGAATGAAATCTTTGTTACTGCATCATGTAATGCTGACATAATTTAAACAGGATAATTGGACTATTTATTCAGCTCAAAGCTTTGCTTATCTTGGAATCTGTTCCTGAATGTCCGAATGAAAAGACTGACAACTATTAGGTTTTGCATGAAAAGGTCATGCTATTGTATGAAGAATCTCTTCGATAACTTTTCAGATTTTCGAACCAGTTTGACCATCTCCTTAGCAAATGATCTTGAGTTTTTAGAGCATTTTAAAGAAAACCTACCACTGATTGGTAAGTTGTACCAGTGACTCTTGCTGCTCTTACTGGAGGAGAGAAGATGCAAGTGTGTGAGTCGGGTACCCTAATGATGCATGTGTCTGCAGCTGCAAAGTGCAATGCTACCAGGTTTTGCCATGCAGCTTGATAAAGTGGAAACACAAAGAGTGAGAAACTCTGTCCCTATTATGTTGTTAATCAAAGGGAGAAAAACTTTGCAATGGTGAGGACTCAGTTTGGCTCTATGGTTTCAAAGCTTACCCAGGCACTGCAACATTTTCTGCTCCAACATGTAGTAGATAAAAAATAGTTTCTCCATATTAGTGATAATTTTTTACATTCTCAATTATCATTTACATGTTTTACTGTGCTTTATGAAACTAATATAAAGTTGATGAGTTTTAAAACGTATTACATTTAATTCCAGACTCTAGTGTATTTAATAATTTCAGAACATCTCGTTTACATTTTTTGTTGGCCTGGTTGTGAAGAGTTGCCTGTTGCCTGTTTGGAATTTTGTCTAAATAAAAAAAATTTTTTTCAGGTCATTAAAGTTTATGATGAAAACAACACCAGCAAAGCTGTAGAAGCTCCAACTGATGTCACTGCAAGGGACATATGCCAGCTATTTGTCCTGAAAACTCACTGCATTGATGACCACAGTTGGACGCTTATTGATCATCTGACCCAGCTGGGAATAGGTAAGATTTCTTTCTTGTATCTTGTATAGGGCTGCAACTAACGATTATTTTGAAAATCGATGAATCGGACGATTATTTTTTCGATTAATCGATGAATCGGACACAAAATATTTTTTTTATATTAACCTCTTTATTCCAAAATAAACATTTTAGACAGAACAAACAAGCACACAAGTACAGGTTTCTCATTAACTGTACTGGTGCTATATGAAAAATAAATGTTTGTGTTAAAACTATGCAAACTTACATGAGAAATGTAGCTGTACATCCACAAAATATAGGGTACTTTGTTTCATAAAGCGCAAAAAAAGACATTTTTGTTTTTAAAAGCCCCTAAGGGGTTCAAACAATAGGCCCCCCCCATTTCAACAAATGAGTTTTTTTTAGACTAGAAGAGTTCTGCCTTTTAAGACAGGAAAGTATAGCAGTTAAAGTTGCTACTTAAGAAAATACTTAACCATAGAGATAAAAATAGCCCTGTGATTCAAATTATAAATTGTATTTGGAATAAAAATGAGAGAACTAGGGGTGTTAAAAAAACACATCCTCCAAAGACAGATATTTACATGGGAATGTGGCAGATAATTAATTGACATATTACTGATCTTGCTGGATTTTATTCTGCTTTACTTCCATAAATTGCAGGATCTTCTTTACTTTCTTTGCCAGAAGATTTAAACTTTAAAAGCCTTGCCCTCATAATTTGCAAATTTATTTATTTATAAAGAAAATATAAACGCTGCTTAAGCTAATTCAAATGAAATTAAAAGTAAAATAAGAAGCCAACCTTATCACTGTCTGTAACCTACTAACAAGCTAAGGAAAGCATCAGATGAGCTATCTGAGAAACTAACTTACGTTTCCCCACTTTAAAATGAAACAAACATGGTTACTCATCCTGCTGATCAGCTCTCTTCACTGCCATTGAAGGCTCCAACGTGTTTTCTTTTCAGGTGCTGCGTCATAACAGTGGTGCTTCCGTGCCATGTTCATTTGTTTTTTACAAAAGTTGCATGTTACGACTTTTTTCACTTTACAAAGCGCAGGCTATTTTAATTATTGTGATCAATTTGCGCCGTCAATCCCGGGGCATGCGCGCTTCATTTGCAGTCTGGACGCTGAGGGTAAACTCCTCACTAAAATCCTGCGGCTCTGACTGCAGCGCTGAGAGGGATTCTTGTGGGAGAGGGAGAAAGGCGTTGGGATGGGGGAGGCGCCCCACGGCAGCAGCTGCCGCTGGAGGACAAGAGTAGGAACGATACATGCTTTCACGTAAGAGTCTCCAAAAGCCGCCAGTGACACCGTAAAAAGTCGCCAGATTTGTCGCTAGTCGCTTTTTAAAAAAATAGTCGCTGGAGGGGTCTGAAAAGTCGCTGAGTTGGCAACACTGCAACTGCGGCGCTGACTCGCTCCGCCATATTTTTTTTTCTTCCCCGGGATGACGGCGGCGGCGGATGACGCATTAATCGCGCGACACAACTAATCGATGATTAAATTCGTTGCCAATGCTTTTAAACGTCGATTTTTATCGATTTTATCGATTCGTTGTTGCAGCCCTAATCTTGTACGCTCTGCTGTCTGTTTTTATTTAATATGGTGGGAACCAATGTTGTGTTTTTACTAATTAAAAAAATGTTGAGTGAAGGCAACTCCTTGTTGCAGATACAAATTTCTCTTGGAGGACGAACATATGAGATCTAAAAAAATACAATTAATCCATTATTTATTCCTTTTATGCTACCTCATTAAGGTTTTTGGTATGCTATTTGTTTGAAAAGTTATTACTTAAAAAATTGCAATTACTTTGAAAAATTTTATTTTTTTAAAAACTCAAAACACCTGCTTGGGCTGATATACTGCAAATAGGTAGACCAATAATAATCTAGTAAAACAAGTGTGCTTTATTTAGAAACCTTAAAGGAAACATTGTGAGAGAAGAAGAGAAAAAAAATCTTTTTCCAAATGTTAGGGATGTGCACCTTCAGGCACCCTTATACCTCTATTAGCTTTTTAAATTATCTTTGATGATCTACAAGATCTGTGGTTGTTGCTCACATGTGGCTGTTAATATATATTTATTTTTATGTTTTTTATAAAAATATGCTACAATACTAAAGTACAGTCTGTTTTTCTTTGCACCAAGACTGCTCTCCAGCTGGATTATTTTATGCAGGTCTGAGCAGACATTTCCCCCCCTAAACAATATTACTCTACTCATGCTGTTTCTCACAGTGCAAATATGTTTCATGCAAAAATAATCTCTCTTTATCTGTCATTATACAGATGCCTCCTTTGTGGCTACAATAGCCACAGAAAGTTTTGCATGTGGGTTTGTACCTGACTTTGAAACTTAATAATTTTAGATGCAAAGCCTACACCCTCAATCATTATAAGGTTTGAAAAACAACTTTGCAGGTGGTAAGTATTTTCTGTGCACATGCTCTGTCGATACATTTAAGCAGCTTAGTCATGGGCAAAAAAAAAAATGCATGTGCTGCTAAGTGACTTGCACATGTAAATTTGATTGCACCTTATATTAAAATATGTACATAAAAAGATTGTCTTACAACTTTTGTAGTTCTTTTTAATTTATTAGTAAAAAAACACCTTGCCAAAAGTTAAAATTGCTGACACTAAATCAGAATTGTCTTCATTCAGTAGCTGTTTCCATACTGAAGAGTTTTGTTGTTGTTGCTGGGTAACGATGACTATTGAACGTTAGTTTTTTGGTGAATCTCTAAAATAAAGACATTGATTAAAACATTATTTTCATATACAGTCATTTTTTATGTCAGAAATGTGCTTTCTGATAAGGCCATACAAAGAAGTAAGGGGACATATTAAACAATGTATTGAATTAATCTATCAACCTTTTGACCTTTATTTTTAAATAACCAATAATTTTCCATTGAGAATATTTAAACTTTTCAAGGCTGCACTTTTAAAATGATGAAATTGTCCATAAAGCTGTTCCGAACAAAATTTCTTTTTGTTTTACACTTGTGTAAACGAAATGACAAAATCTGTCTAAGTCTAATAATATACCTTTTTTTCTGTAAATGGTTAGATGCGTGTTAAAAACTATCTTTCATTAAACTGTGAATTTTGTTCTACCCCTGTGTTTTCCCCAGAGCGAACCATAGAAGATCATGAATATGTAATGGACGTGCAATCAGGCAGAGGGATGGACACAGACAGTCGGCTGTATTTTAGGAAGAATTATGCCAAATATGAATTCTTTAAGAAACCCCTGGTAAGTATGTCAAATGATTTTACTAAAAATGATCAAGCTTTTAGACCAGTGGTGTTTTTTGTATGAATGGCAAACTGGACAAGCTTGTTATACAGTAAATTCCGTTTTGGGACATAATGCTGTAGTTTAACACAAAGCAAATAAAATTGTTTCCTGTTTCCTGGCAGCAATGAAGGAACTCCCCATGACCTCTTTTTGACATAGAGTCACAAGACATAATTACCTGAGATTTTTTTTTACCTGGGTGAAAGAAATACCAGGTAATTTGCGTCTTTGTTTTCACTGATCTGACAAGCCATGAAAAAAGTTTTGTAAAGGTTGACAACAAAACTGCATTGTACCTTTAGTCAATCTGATAGCGTTAAAAAGAACCAAATGCATCACCAGCTCTCCCTGCACTTACCCTGGCATAACCTCTGTAGCCTAGCAACTGTAATAGCAAGAAGCACAGATATGAAGCTGTGGAAAAGGATTTCTAACTTTTGATCCATGTGTTTTTTTTGTTTACTAATCCTTCAGGAACTTTATCATTTGTACCATTGTGACAATCATTTCTTTAAAATAAGAGAGTTGTTCATCTTCAAATGTACTCCCCAGCTCTCTCTTAACACATTAAAGTCAAAATAAAACTATCCTGTTCTGAAACCTGAAATTTAATCTCAGCCAAATTGATTTGTTTAGAGACAAATTGAATACTGAAATACACTAAACAAAACCATTAGAAATCATCTGGCTAATTTATAGCTGTGTATCCATCACTTATTGGATAAAGCTAGTAAGAGTTTAAAAACAATGTGCCAGGAATCAGCTATTTTCTTTGGATGCTGGAAACCTCATAAACATTGTGATGTTTGCATATTTGTATGACAGGAAGTCTAATTTGTTAAATTTAATGACATCCTATACTGTTCTCATCATCCATTGACCTTGTATTTGAGAGTCCCTTTTTTAGCTCACCACTCATAATCCCAGGCTAATGTGGAAGTCCTATCCTCTGACCAGGAACTTTTATCTAGTGAAGTCTGTCCCGGGGAAGTCAAAACTACTCTGGCGTAAACGTGTCAAAATGCATGGAAGGCTTTTAGTATTGTAGATCATGACTAAAAGTCGTGGAAACAGAAAAGAGGCTGTAGACACCTACTGTACGTTGGATCATTGGTAACTTTAAGGATTTGTCATGACAGACAAGTGTTTTTTTTGTAGGTGCTTGTTCACCCATTTCTAATGCCACCTTAGTAGCCCACAAGCCTTTATCAAAAACTGCCACTAGGTCACACACATTGTATCATAGTCAAAAACATGAATTAATGTCAAACAAATTTTGCTAAATTCAATAGGACTTTTTCCCAGATCACATGGTTTCCATCTCCACGGAAACTAATGACATCGTGGATCATTCTGAGCTCATTGAGGTATGAATCTTTTTCTTAATGCACAACTCTGGTTTTATTACCAGGGTAATGATGATATATGGATGGTCAAATGTTTCTCTATTCAAACAGACCTTCCTCAAATCCAGCACTTGTCCTGAGATCCATGGCCACCTTCATGTCAAAGAGCAAAGCAAGAAGTCCTGGAAGAAGTTCTATTTTGTTTTACGGAGGTCAGGGCTTTACTTCTCCACTAAGGGGACTTCCAAGGTTGGTAACGTTAATAATTAGGTCATAAAGAATGAATTCAAGTTTTTCACTTTTTTTAAGTATATTTTAATTATTAGACTTTTAAAAAGTCTAATTTAGTTCTAAAATGATTCCATTTGTATGAAAGGCTTTTAGTTTTATCTAGATTGTGTGCAATAAGTCCAAAGAAGCGTCAAAACGGCAGTAAAGAATTTGCATTTGGAAAACTGTTCAGTATGCGATCAGTTGATAATTAGCTTAATGGCTGCATGTACACCAAACACGTTTTGAAAAAGACACCAAAGCAGGTTGAGCTTGATTTTTCTGAGGTCAGCTACAGTGGAAACCATACTTTCTTTGCTGCTGACAAGTGAATCTTATAGGCTGCAGCCATGCTAGCACACCCACTTTTCAACTGCTTTCATTTCTTAAAACAGTGGGTCTTCTGTTGTTAAAGTACAGGTAGGTTTGGTATGACGTCTGTTTTGGCTATTCAGTCAGCACAGACATTAATGGCTGAAGCATTACTTTAAATAAGGAAGTAGGGACAGCAGGTCACACGAAAGCAGAACAATGAAACTCTTTCAGCTTTTTTAACTCAGAGGTATTTTTGACACAATGTACCTATTGATACTGTCATTTGTCTAAATTTATCTCTTAAATTATAAGTTTTATCTAAACACAAGCACAGACACAGGTGTGTTTCTTAAATAAAAATTCAGTTTATGCTTCACAATTGCGATTTTTCATATTCTCTTTTATAAGCATCTTTAGCTCTTAAGTCTGCACCTTATCTCTAAAGAAATGTCCTAAAGGGATTTTATTTATTAAAAATTATACTCCATTAATCATATTGACATACACCTAAATTAAAACGTCTAACACTGGCATATACAGTACATGTGTATTAAACTGAAACATGTCTCCATTCCTCATATCTTGTAAAGTTTTCCTTATTTTAAATCCAACAACCTGTTTTAAGACCGACCAACACCAAGTAGTGCATAAGTGTTAGGTTGACAAAAAAATTTCAAACTCCTATTGCAAATAAAAATACAAAAAAAAAATGGGACACCTCTGACACCACAAAAAATCCAGATCAGCCAATTGGCTCCAGAACTCACCTTTAAATCACGCCTGTGTATAAGAGGAGTTCAGAGGTTAACTATCATAGTACAAACCGAGGACCAAGACACACAGTAGAGAGACGACTGGAGATAATATAAAGCTCAAGCTATAAACAATTGATCTTAAAAAGCAAACCTACCACTCTTGAACAGTTAGACTGTGCAAAGGCTGGCTACAGGATGTATTATTTTAAAATGTTTCAAAAAGTCCCTCGTGTTTTTCTTTACACTGGACAGCTATGTACAACATAGTGTTTAATAGTAGAAGGACATTTGTGGTTGTACTGTAATATTATGAAATATGAAAAGTTGAAGTACATTGGAAATACTTCTGAAAAGTTATGTCTTAGGGTTTATCACATTGGCAGTTTCATTAATATTAGGATTTTCTAACAATTTACACAACATTTTTAACAAGACCAGCCATTTTTTTTTGCCTCAACAATAAGCTCTCTTTGCTGTACAGGAACCAAGGCATCTTCAGTTTTTTGCTGACTTCACTGACAGTGACATTTACACCGTTCTGTCTGCCAAAAAAACACATGGGGCACCAACAGAGTTTGCTTTCTGTGTTAAGGTAATAATTATTTGTTTTTTTTTTAAATGCAGTAAGTAATTTATCAAAGTTTCTCACACATTGTAATACTCTGTCTGTGAACATCGCGCTGCAGGCTACAAAGTGCAGTTCAGCTCGTGATTTGAAGCTGCTTTGTGCTGATGATGAGCAGACCAGGACCTGTTGGATCACAGCCATGCGCTTGTTAAAGGTTGGCTTGATGATGAATAACCGTGGCTCATGTCTTAGAAGAGGAATGCTGAGTCAGAGCTAGAATCAGATTTAGCTTTGGAAAGAGGTCAAGGGAAACTATTGAGTGATGCTGGATTAGCATTTCCTCTCGATAGATTCTGCATGTGTCTGTTGTTAGGATATCTGGTGGAGCAGTTTAAAGCATTAGTCAGTCACACTTCTTTGTAAATAAAAAACCAAGAGTCATTAATAAAATGAATTTGTCTCTCTGCAACACTAATGAATACGTTTGAAGATTACATGCAATGTGATATTTATTAACCTTCTTTATCTTTCAGTTTGGGATGCAACTTTATCAGAATTTCATCCAGCCTCACCAGAAGCAAAAAGCCTCACCAGTGGTAAGCTGAAGTGTTTGTTCTACAATTGCAGGTCATGGTTTGAGTATGCCTGCTTCTTAAGAAGCAGTGCAGAACGCAAGGTTTCTCAATATGCCAGTTTGTACAAAAACTGAAGTACTAAATATATGTGCAGTGGTTATCACTGGGGCCTTATGTAGGTCTTTGTTTTGTGTCCTAGCTATGCAGAACCGTCTTCATGGTGGTTGCATACTGGTAAAATTATCCCTACAGCATTTTGTACCTTTTTTTTTTACCCATCATTTTCATTTTATCATTGGGATGTTTTCTGGGGAAAAGTGAGATTAGAAAAGTGATCAGCAATGGCCAGTCTCTTTTTTATTGTTAAATACTAATCTGCCATTACTTAAGGTAAGTGAGGTTGTTACAACCTGGGGGAATTACAATTGTGCTCTCAGAGTAACCTTGGTAGGCCAGTGACTTTTGGATAGGTCCACCTCTGCTTTTCTTTATTTGTGCCTAGCGACTCACTGTGGTTTACTGACATCCAATAGCCTTAAAAAGACTTTGTAACCCTTTTGAGAGAGATAGATGTAAGTAACTTTGTTTTTTATATTTTTCCATACTTCATGAAAGTGTGTTACTTTTTGATATCATTTATCCCATCTGTGCTGTTCAGCAGTATTTATTTAAAAGTTTCTAATATCATTATTAGAATCATATGTAGTGTTATTCACTACGGATAATTCATAAATTGACAAAAGAGACATTTTTATACAGTATTTTCTTATCTAGGTCAAGATAATTCCGTTTTTAATAATTTCGGTTTTGTTCTCCTTATTTAAACCTCTTTTTGTACATACTGTGGTTTAATTGACTGATATGTGATATTAAAATATAAATAATTTAACCCTAACTAAAACAACAAAAAGTTATTAAAAGCTCAATTTTCATGTTACTTTCTTTTATTAGATCCCCTCCTAATGGGTTTTTCCTGTAACAATATATTTGGCCAAAAGATTTTAAATAAGTGATTGTCTGAACTTGAGTAAACTGTAGTTACCATAATATAAAATATTGCCATGTCGCATAAATTTCTGAAGATTTTATTATTATTATTGTAGCTTTACAAGCTGGTAATATTTTGTAGGCCTATTTCTGTTTTGATTTCTGTTTAAATAGATCAGTCTGCACAGACTTAAAAACACTTACTTTATACAAAAAGAAAAGCATGATATAAATTTGTTGGGCATGTAAGGAACCTTCTATCGTTTAAATGTGGACTTTGTCCCTCAGAATAGCCTAAAACTTTACTGAAGCAGCACACAAAATCTATTTATAGGTGATGGCCATGCTAGTGAACGGGCAGCCTTCTAAAAATACATCATGATCAGCTGCTCTCACATTTTGACAGCTCATCTGTTTTTTTCCTGCTGTCGTGGCTTCAAATACTTCCCAGCAAACATAGCCAAGAGGATTTGCTAGAAAGACTGGAAAGTATGTGAATCAAATAGATGCCAAGCAGGTTAATGACATTTTATGTATAGTTAACATGATATCTTTAGAAAAAATGCAACCATTTTTGATGGGTATTTATGGCATTTTATACCTTTCAGGAATGATATAGGAAGCTGTAAAATAAAACACAAAATTTGTTCATTGCACTTATTTACATTGTGAAGCTTAGTCAGAGGAATGACAATAAGTGTTGCAGCTGAAAGCTTTAAAGTAATCTTCAGAAGGACAATTTTCTTGACTCTGTAGTTATTTGAAGGCACTCTATCTATGAGAGTTTAAAGAGTAATACGTGTCCATGTGTCATTCTTTCCAAAGCCACTTTAATCCCTTTTCAATGGAGCTTCATGTCTGGAATTATCTAGAAATGATGAGGATGGAGTCACATTACACAGACACTAGGTGGCAATACAATGCCACAATGCAGGAAGCCTTTAAACTTTCCATACTCTATAGAGGATTTAATACAGAAATAATAATATTGATTTTATTTTGTGACCCATGTTTTTATTTGCTTCTTGGAAAATGTTGTTTAGAATATCCTAAAAAAAGAAAAATGAACTAATGTAAATTTTATTAAGTATCTATGAAGCAATTTGTTTTCTATGCCATTTCAGAGAAGCATCTCTGAGAACTCGCTGGTAGCCATGGACTTTTCTGGTCAGAAAACACGAGTGATCGAGAACCCTTCTGAAGCTCTGTCTGTGGCATTGGAGGAAGGCCTGACGTGGAGGGTGAGCCAAGGTTTTCACCTTATTTGTTCCCTCCGTCTGCTCACTTACTCTCAGATTCCACATTGGGGGAAGATGCAAAAGGGGACAAAAGGACTTTTTAAAACTCTTATTACTGTTTCAAACTTAGCTAAAAAAAAGTAAGAAGAAGTGTATGAGGGAGTAATCTGTTAGTTGAGGAACTGTCGAAATTTACAACTCAGTTGTGATAATCTTTTGAAAGGATAAACAGTATATCAGTGATGTTCTCCACAAAACTGGCTTTTATGAAAGAGTGGCAAGAAGAAAGCATTGGTTAAGAGACAGCCAGAAGAAAATATAATATGTAGCTTTTCACAGGCTATACATGAGATACCGCAAACATAGTGATGTATGACAGTAAAGTGGTCATTTGAGACCAAAATTTGATTTCTGGCCTTAATACAAGAAATGCTCTAAATGTTATCCATCTTATTTGACAGAGGTTGAGCTATTTTAGAAAATGCCACAAAACAGGTTTAAATTAGAGGCAATTATTCAGGAGTTCAGGAGTCTTTTTCAATTTGGTCTGCTTGTTTTAGAGCAAAGGATTTATGCATGGAATTTTCAGTCTCTTTTTTTGGTCACATGACAGAAGTATACATACTTTGGTAAGGACCTAATCAAAACCATTTCACAAAGCTAGAAGAGCAATTCGAGGGAGAAAGAAAACAGTTTAACGGCATATTAACATTATTGCCAGTTTTATTGTGGCCATAACTCATGTCTCCCTCAGAGGAAAAGCTGCCACCGTTTGAGTTGCCATGGGAGCCCCTCCTCCACACAGACTTCCGTTTCAAACCTAGGTATGTGAGATACTCCTTTATCTGCCTCATATATGTACACACATGAAATACAACCACTAATTCAAAATCATCATGCCTCAGCTATCCACTTGGTTCAGCCATGGTTCCATGGCAAAATGTCTCGAGACGAGGCTCAGCGTCTAATTATGCAGCAGGGTCCTATTGATGGGTAAATGGTCAACTCTTCATTTATATTTTCCTGCTTAACACCATTGGGATGCTAAAGCTAAGGTGATGTCTTGGTTCCAATCATCTAGTGAGGCTTTTTTTACTCCAATCTACTTAGAAAAGAGCAAGTGTTGCAGTATATATAAATGTATTAACTCTTAGACATATTATCCGCAATAGACAAAAGTGTACAGTATATTATTTACAAATCATAGCCATTGTAATTGCTATATTTTGTATGTAATATGGTTGTTGTTTGGTAAAATTCCAATGCTATGTTTTCTAGGGCAACTTAGACAATAATCTTTATTGTCGTCTCTGTTCATCAGACAAAGATAAATTAAAATTCCGTTGGTATTAATAGATTTCAATAGTTGTATTCTAATGCACATACTTCCTTTCTTCCTCTTCCAGAGTATTTCTGCTGAGGGACAGCCAAAGCAACCCGAAGACATTTGTTCTCTCACTGTGTCACATGCAGAAAATCAAACACTTTCAAATTGTACCAGTAAGTACATTTAACCATCTAAGTTGATCTAAGTTACTGTCTACTAATTAAAGGTTAGGTACGGATGCTTTTAAAAATTCAGAATGATGAATCAGATAAAAGGAAGAACAAATTATAGATATGTGTCAAAAAATATTTTAACATATTTATATTCAGAATATAGCTCAAAATGTAATGTTTCTTTATTTAGTGGCACAGTTTGTCCAGATCAAAATTGGTACGATGACCCAGAAAACACCACAAATAAGAAAATTAAAGATCTTTACAGACATTTGTACCCATTGAGTCATTTGAGGCCTTAAATCCAACAAAATAGAAAAATATGTTCTTCATCAAAATGGTTCTAGTATAACACTTCACAGCTTTGAAGGAGGGAAACTCGTCATGCAACATTTTTGTTTTCTAATTTTAACAATGCTGGCCATGTCAGTGAGTTAATCTACCATTCATAAAAAAAAAAAAAAGCATTTTACTATTTGGTGAAATTACTTCAGTATTACCAAACTTACTTTTGAATTTAAAAAGAGTAATAGATTTCAATGTTCATCTGGTCTTTTACTGTAGAGGGCTGGTGTTTGCCCTACTCCTTTACCTGAAATTTAGCCCAATATCAGCAATGGCTAGAGAAATGTTTTCCTCAGGTTTTAGATCTACTGATTTCATGGTACACTCATTTATTTCAAGAAACATTCATATTTTCAGGCTTCCAAATAACACAAGATAGGACATAATATGACCAAGTCATATAAAATAAAGGCAATTTAATTGCAATAGACCAAATACCCCATGTGGTTTTTCATAACTTTTAATGTTTTACTAATTTTTACCCATTTTAACTTAGTAACCTATAAAAAACAAAAACAGCATTTACATTTTTTTTGTGTTTTGTAGGTATGGGCTACCTTAAAATGGGAAAAGTGGAAAAACAAATCAGAAAAAAAGGAAAAGAAATGCGAAAGTGAGAGTCTCTCCAAATTAATGCCAAATTCAGACAGTTTTCTGGTGACAAATGAAAAGATACACTGATAAAGTCTCAGTAACATTAACACATTTTCAAACTGTCTTATAAAGGAGAATTATTTTAACCAACTTTAACACAAAAAAGCAAACATTAAGAAAAAAGTGTACTTTTTTGTCGGTTAACTAAATCTCAATAGAGTTTGATTGACTTTTAATCCAAGTCGCATTTCTCTCACTTTTTTCTGAGAACATTCCAGTGAGTTTCCTCCACAGTGAAGTACACTCAGTGAGGGAAGTGTAAGGGAATATTTTCTCACTAAGAAATTGGACACTACTAGTTGTAGAATTACATCCAAGCCCAGTAGATGGTGGTAATAAATAGCCTGTACACTTCAGTGATGTGTTCACCTACGTCATGTGTAAAAAAAAACCTGAGTCACAGCCCTCTGCATGGAAATCCTACCATATTCATAACTTCTCACCAAACACATGCATAATATTGAACAACAAGTAAATTACGAAACTTAAAAAGTCAATTTGTTCATTGCACTTATTTAAATTGTGAAGCTTAGTTGGAGGAATTACAGTAAGTGTTGCATTAATAGACAATCAATATAATTAGCTACTAAAACTTTTTGTTGAAATATCAGTTGCCAATGAGAAGCAAGGAATAAAAATAAATAATACAGTGCATCCCTAATGGACTCTAACAATTATTAAAATCAACACAATTTACTCCAGCTGTGACTACCAACTTGTTTCTCAATGGACTGTATTTTCTTGGCACCAAATACAATAGCAAACACATACTCAACACATTTCAACAATCCAAGCAACTCCAACCAAGAGGCCAATTCTACTTGAACTCCATATTTAATTAAATAGACTGGAGCTAATCATGACCACTAGCTTATTAATACCCCGCTAACAATAAAATCTATGAAATTATTTTCAAAATTCTTTATAACATCAATCCTGTGAAATAGCAAAATATCTTGAAATTGTTCCTTCTGCAATATTGAACCTGAAGTAACCCATCACCTATTCTTTACAAGGCCTGTAACCACATCCTTCATGAAAAGCAATAGAGCAGTACTTATCTAAAAAAAACAAAAAAAAACAAAAAACGCTTCAGTGAATTTTTGTTCCGTGTTTTCCTAAATGTTTGGAAACGTCGGGTCCAGCAGTTATATTACCTATTCCTTGGGCGCTAGTGACATTTCTGTGTGGTCAACCAACAGAGAAGAAATGTGCAAAACCAAAGACTGCTCCGATGCTTTTTTTGCCCTTATTAATCCACAAACTTATTACTCTGTTTAATGTATGTTGAATCATTTATTAAGACGACAATAGTTTGCATTCATGTAGAATTCTTTTTTTTTCATATGGATTGGCCCAGGAACTACGGAGATATTACTCATAAACCTGAAAAATCATGCCTTATGACTGTTAGAATGTGTGCACTGTGCAGTAAACCAGCGCAATGACAATTATGCATAACGTTATACCATCTATGCTGCTATAGTGACCGTTGCAATTCCACATATCAAGATAGAAATGGTGGTAACGTGATTTTGTTAAAAGCTGTCATACATAATCATACAGCGGTGAAGTTGGTTAGAAGCCGGACACTTGACACTCAAGCCCCTTATTTGTCCTCAGGAATTGCCATAAATCATTATGAATAGGTATTTTTTATACTTTTCTAAAAGATCTTTTGAAATATTGTTTTAAAAACATAAAAACAAAGATTGAACTGAAGATAAAGATTATATTGCTTTCATATTCTGTACACATAAGACCTGGCTCCGACATGTTTTGTGAGATAAAAGATTATGATTATTTCTGCCTCTAGGTCTTCTGGCTCACAAAAGGTAATATGTGACTGTACAGTAGTTGTATATTTGAGGTCATCATGTGATGCTTAATGAATGTTTATTTAGTATTGTTACAGTCTTGGGGAAAAGCAGATAAACATTTAAAATAACCTCTGCACAGAATCAACAGTTTGCTTTTTTTTCTTGGTTTGTTTTTTACACTTATGAATGTGTGTGTTTTTATGATCCACTTAAGGTGGAGGATGACGGTGAGCTGTTCTACACTTTGGATGGTCACACACGATTTACTGACTTGATCCAGTTAGTGGAGTTTTACCAGTTAAACCGTGGGATCCTCCCCTGCAGACTAAAGCGCCACTGTACCCGGATCAGCCTGTGAAATGGGCCCCAAGAGACCCCCATGCACCGCTCACTCTGGGTTTTGTTCAACACCCTTTTCTATCTTGTGCCTTTCAGAAGAAGAACTTTGTAGTTTTCACAAAGTGGAACATTTACCATCTTTCTTTTTCACTTTTAGAAAAACTCAAAATTTTAGAACTTTCAGTTTGCAAAAAAGATTGTTTTCTGGCTCCGTCACATTTTCTACATTTTGGGAAACCTGTTTCACAGACTGTAACCATGACTTATTGCCTTTTTGCTTATTGAGGCTTAGCATATACAGTGCTTAAGAGTTAAATTGTTTCATTTTACAATATCAGGGAGGGAAACTACAAACTTTAACTGATATATTAAAACCAGGAAAGGTTTTTGGTCTGCTTGTTTGGTTTGGACCATAAGCAGACTTCTTTTTTTTATTATTATTTGTGGTGTCTGTCTTTCACAATTTCCATTATGTTCAAATCTGCTATTTCTTAAAAAACGAAGCCAGTTGTGTGACAACCATTGCTTCATTTCAACAGCACTAAATAGAGCGAGACAGAGCACATACCCACAAATTGAGGATAGCTATCTTTAAAGTTGTGTCAGCTTCATTCTCTGTTGCATAATTATGCTGTTACTTGAGTTAAAAAATCAGTGTCAAGTAAAACTCATTTAACACATATTGTGCAATGTTCAGTTTCTAATTTTGGAACAGCTTTGCTGGATGCGTTCTGCAAGCCGAATGAGAATAAGGGATTTGCATCTCCTAACCCACGTAATGCTGGTAGCAGTTTAGCAAAGCAAAAGATGATCAGGCTTGACTTTTGTCTAACATTTACTACTGCTTCAGGTCTAGCTAGAGAGTCTCACCAGAAATTAACTGCATGGTACACTTTGGAAAACCAACTGATACCTCCAAAAGGCAGTCTAAGACTGGTTATATGGTCCTAATCAGGGTGTTGATGAGTCTAATCACACCTGCACAAAAGGTTTATACTAATCAGGGACATGAACTCTGGTCTGTTTAAACATACCAAATATGCCAGGTGTGAATATCCCCAAAGGCTGTTTAACATTTACATGCAATGCAAGAAGACTGAAACTCGGTGAAACTTTACAACCACAAACTTCTATGTATTTTACAATGACTTTTTTTCACGGAAGACCAACATAAGCTATCAAGACTATGAAGGAGGAAGAAACTGTGGTCCTATAGTTGTGGTTTGCAAGTATATTCATCCCTTTGTAACTACAGCTGTGAGCATCTGGGAAGAAGTTTCCACAAGACTTTAAAGATTAAAATCTTTTCCCATTGTGATTGACAATGGAAGGATTAATATGCTTCGATCTTAATGATTCCATTGTACTCGTGGCAGGAGATTCAGGGTCATTCTGATACTGGAAGTTAAACTGCTCTAGTCTCAAGTCACTTTTAGTATGAAATTGTCTGTAAATGCTGCTATTAGTGCAATGTTAAGTTTCTGCCAAACATACGTAGTGTTATCTATGTAGACCAAAAAGAACTTTAGTACATCATCTTTGAACATTTGCTGTGTCCCCTCCTATGCCTGCGTGTAAGACTGTTTATGGCTGTCCTTATGACAATTTGTGGAATGCACAAATTGGTGGACTGTTAATGGGACATTTGAGCAAAACATGACAATTAGTTGTCCCGTCTTCGGTTCCTACCGCCTAAGCTATGATCTCTGCAGCTCTTCCAAAGTTGCTTTGGGTTATCCAGCTGCCTTTCTGATTAGTGCACTTCTTAGCTGGCCTATAAGTATAGATGCATGGCCATGTGTTTGTTGGTTTTGTTCTACTAGATTATAATAGAATAGACTCTTTAGAATTGAATAAACTATTTCTAGGTTTGGATGATTAATTAAAATTATTTTAGACATTTAAAGTTTGGAGATTTTATGAGCTAACTGTGGCTTTAAACCTCATTATACATTATACCTGAACTCTTTGCTCTGTTACTTGGTCTTTATAATGCTGCTTGTTCACTAATATTTTTAAGAAAACCTCTGAGCCCTTCAAAGAACAATTGTTAAGTCAAATCAAACACATGTGGACCTTTTTTTTCCACTTATATGACCTCTGATTTGCTGAACATATGTTTTAATTTGAGTCATTTCCAGTACTGTTCCATCCCACTACTATTAGTATTTCATCTGCAAAAAAAGAACAAGATGTCAGAAACAAAATAACAAAGTTATGCACTGCTTTGTTTTGAGCTATAACAAAAAATCCTAATAAAACATCGAAGTTTGTGGTTTTAAAGTAGAAAAGTGAAAAGTTAGTGGTAGTTAGTATATTGCACTGTATACATTTGTGATTATACATCTGTCAAAAACAGATAATCAATTTCCCCCAAAAAACATGCTTAAATGGAATCATAGCATTCTGAAAAACACAGCTTCAGCTGTTTGATGAGGGCAGCCTTATTTTTCTTTTCATATCTTTTTGTTCTGGTATTTTTTATTTATTTATTTGTTTTTATTAATAGAAACTGCCCTCTCGGGAAAAGTTACTGTTTTCCTAAAAGAAACGTCTTTTTTTTTTATTATTTAGAGCCTTCACTTAGAACAAGAGCAACATGGTATATTTAAGAATTTGTAGATTCAAGCCAAAATATAGACAATAGGCGGAACTGATTTTGATCATAATGGAATCAGCAGTAATGTTAAAATGAATCCTTAGCAGTAACTTGAAGTTGTATGACTGCTTTGGCTCAGCCCTTAAAGACACATCATCAGATATGTTATATTTTTGTTTAAATTGTAGTATCTTAATAGTTCTGCTGAGGAAAAACTGTATCATTCATTCTTACTTTTTTTAAATAAACCTACATTATTAAAATGTATTTTAGGTCACATTTCTTATAGAGGTCTGTTTTTTTTCTTTTACTAAACATTGTGTCACTTACTTAATAACAAAATGGTTTGTGTAAACATCTGAAATAGACATACTTAATCCAAAGAGGTAATTGACTTTTTATTCATATCTTTCAATAGGCTACAAGATTGTGTGGCATTCCTTATAAGGTACATGGTTGGTTTTTAGATTGATAAAATATTGCAAACTCTTTATTGTGTTCTGTTTAACAATTTCACCAAGATTACATGACATAGCATCGCTGCCTCTCTTTAAGTTAAGTGAAAGATTTGTGTTCTGACATACTTCGGCAGCTTTGTATACTATAACATGAATAAGATTGGAACCTATAAGTTGACAGCAGGGGGGTGCTGGGGATCAGAGTTAGATCAGCTGACTTACAGATGGAAGATCAGGAGTTTGATCTTCTGCCATATGTTAAACTTTTGTTTGACAAGAGACTAAACTGAACCCCAAAAGGATTATGGTACGCTCTGTGTTACATTTCTGGCTAGGCTACCATTTCAGTGATGTTTTATGAGTTACCTAAACAAAGAAAGGTACTTAATAGGAAGCAGCACAGATTGTATTGGTCTCCAATTAATGAGCAGGGCAAAATTTGGCTTAGAAAGTTAGCTCAATAACGGGGGGGTTAAACATTACAAAGCTCAAATGTTTTTTTTTTAAATCTATAATGTAGTAATGATAGATAAACCGATTCCATACATGCGAGCTAGCAACTTCGACTAAACCAACTCATTACTTGTCATATTATTTTTTTGTTTTTTAATTTTTGTTTCCTGGCTGTATTTTACTACTGCCAATTACAAAAAAAGAACATATACTTTTTCAACACCATGAAAAACTTAAAGTGTAGCCCATACAGAGCATTATGTCGTTCTACAAAATTTGCTTTTCCTGAAAAATCTGTGTTCAAGATGTTATGGGGGAAACATTCATTTTTAGGAAGTAACAATATACTCAAATAATATATAATAACAATACAACAATATATTTAGAAGAGAGAATAAACATTTCTATTCAATTTTATTTTGAAAAATAAAAAAGGCTAGAATGAATGAATTGTTTGATCTTAATTAACTGCTTCAAATCTTGGTTCCAACACATTTTTCTATAAAATTCCATTCTTCTCCAGACTCTGATTTTAAGATATTTTAATGAGGTTTTTGCTAAAAACACAAATCATGAAACAGGGAAATTTTCCTCAAACTTTCAGTGTGATATAAGGTTATTACACCCCCTTTTAGCCTCATAGGTTACGGTAATTTAGGAAAAATCTGAGAATACAGATTCTCTGCTTCTCTGCAGTTTGTATACTTTGCTACCAATATTTTAGTTTTTCTTGCTTTTTTTTTTTAAGTGCAACAACATTTTAAAAATCCATTAAGCTTCACATGTCAGGCATTTTTATCTGACCTGTAAGATTCCCTGTAAGATCAGAAAAGGCAATGAGAGGGCTCTTTTTATTTTGAAACCAGTAAGTGAAAAATAGAAGGGTCAGATGCTACAATAAGTTTATGATAAGGCAGCACAAAGAGAAAGCATGTAATTTTATTAATAAACTTGACATATTTACAGACATTCCTTTTTTCTGTTTAATTGGTGGAAGAAAAAAATTGGGATATTTTTAACATTTTTTTTTTTTTCATTTTAAAGGCTAACTGCTTACATATGTAGACAATTGAAGACCTTACAAATAACCTGATATTTACAACATTACTGCATAAAATAAGCATAGTAAGAGTTGCTGTGATTAGTTTTTACATTTATATAACATCACCTTATTGTTCTCTGTTCAATATAAAGCTAAACAAGTCTCTTCTACTATTCAACTGCAAATAACACCTTTACCTTTATCCACTAGATGGAACCAGAGACATTTACCTTTTATGAAACCATAATGGCTACTAAAACATTAATATTTCATGTAGTCTTATTAAAATTTCTTCAGAGAGATGAAAAGATAACTAATATAAACATATGGGCTTTAAGTGTCATAAACTCCAGAATGATTTCTGTCATTATTGAAGAATAAACCAAGAAACGGCTTATTAAAGCAAAGTAGATCTGTGTCACAGAAGCCATTTCAAAGTAGTAACTTCTACACTAATGAATGGCAGGACAATGTTAGCTGCTAGTACAGTAGAAAATGTGAAGAAATCTGTGCAGAATGCTTCTGAGGGCCCCATAGATGAAAGTAAATGTTCATGGATACACACTCCCCACACAAGAGAAAATGGAAAAGGATATCTTGTCAATCTTCTCGGTTGTGATATAAACACATTGCCCCTATACCTGCCCTGCTCCACTTCAAGCACATATTTTGAAACAGTTCTCTCATCCGGGGGAGATATGCGCACACAGAGAAGTCTTAAATGCACCCCTGCTTCCGAGGTCTTGTGCTAAATGTTGTTTTGGATGTATTCCTGCCATTGATCGGAGTCTGGCTGCAGGGGGAGAGATGGCAGCTGGGAGAGACTGCGCTTCCTTTAATGAATTCATCCAGCTCAAACGGCCTGTGGATACACCATCTCTCCCAGTAAAGAAATCTTGTCTCCGCTCTATCTTGGCCCACATGGACAACCAGCAGGGTATGTAACACCTCACACCAGCGCACCGTAAAGAATTTTCTCCTGCCTGCACTTGGACTCTTATGACTTCAGGTTCTGTTCTTGAGAGCCGTCCACTTTGCACTGTTCTTAAATGCCCCTCTTGTTGTATTCCCCTTGTGTGTATGAAATTATCTGGCTTTGCCTTTTCCTCGGCCATTGTCTGAATATCTCTAGTGAAGTGAAGACCTTGCTGTTTGCTGTGCTTGTGGTTCACAGAGAGGAATTATTTAGACGTGGGTTAAAGTCCACAAGGAAATGACAAAGGTTTTTGTTGGGAAATACAGCATGGTGAAGGCTGGTGTATTATAACTTGTTTTTAGTAAAAGAAAAAAAATCCCTCGACGATCTTGAAAAGCCAGAAGCAATTTTTTCAAAAAAATATGAATAACTGTTTAGTTTTCTTATGGTATGAAAAGAACAGTTTGCACAAAAAAAAAAACAAATGAATATCATGCATCAAACTTGTAAACTCTTGCACATTGTTTATTTACTAATTATAAATATGTTGTCTATTGTGACAAGTTTGCTTTTTTCCTTCTCCATTATATTGACAGGGATGATCATGGCTTTTACCCAAACCAAACACAGTAGAACAAATGTTTTCATTAGTTACAGATCAAAATCATTTTGAGAGTCCGACTTAATATAATTGAAGAGTTTTCAAATCCTTAAAAACTCAACATTGTGAAATAGAAGGAAAATTATGCAATTTTTTTTTAATGTTTTAAAAAATATCAATCCGTAATGTGTGGTGTGGATGTGTACAGTAGTAGCCATTCAAAATTTCCCCACTTTCCTTGGCTGGTCCCCTGCAATTCTTTTTAAAACATCAATCTTTGTACTAAAATATTCTTTCTGTCATAATTTGTGGACATTAAGATATAAAGAAAAGTGTCATCTCCTGGTCAGACCCTGTAATTCAGTGAAAGGGTGGCGTCAGAGTTAAAAAATATCAACGCCCAGGAGTAGGCCTGTGGCTGGAAGCTGGAGGAGATTTTGCTTGGAGTTACAGGGGAGTAGGCAGCCATTCAGCTGGTGTTTGACTAGGAAGGACCATTTTGAATGGCTGCTACTTTATGCAACCCCCTTTACTCTAGATTTCCAAAATAAAATCCAGTGCCATTAGTAAAGAGCCTTCCTTCATATTATTTAGTCTTAGTATAAATCCAGCTATTCTGTGGAGGCTTTAAAGGTTTACAAAATATTAAAAACCAAAGAACAGAGCAGAAATGTCAAGCATAAAGTTATGGCGAGGTTAGGCAGGGTTATATTGTAAAGCAACCTAAAAAGGCAGGCTTTTTTAGGCTGGTCATAGCAAGCCTCAGTAACAGCAAAACAGATGTACAGATCCATAACTTAATGAAAAAATATTTAACACTACAACCACTCAATATACAATCTACAAATGTAGCTTTTATGGAAGAACAGCAAGAAGAAAGTTACTGTTAAAAATAAACTTATGTCCAGATTGTACCTTACCACAATGCATTTGGGAAACACATTAGACTAAACCTTGAAGAGGGTGTTTAGATGAAAACAAAATGGAAATGTTTGTTATTCTAGCAAAATGCCACCTATGAAGAGAAACCAAAAGATATCTCTAAACATGCCTTACTCACTTTGGCACAGCAAGGATGAAGCATCAGACTCTGGGGATTACTCTCTTCAGCAGGGATATTAAGACTAACTAAACATAAAGATAAATACAACAACAGATGAAAACCTGACAAAAAAATGCATGTCTAGCAAGAGTTTATGTTTCTCAAAAACATGATTTTTTTCCCCTTCCGCTTTAAGGTCATTAAACATTTTTTTTATCAGTTTATCACTTAAATTCCACTTCTGTGTCTTTTGTTTTTGACTTGAAATTGTGAAAGGGGTTATGAGTAGTCTTGCTTATTTTCTTGATGTATATACTTTTTTCCATCAAGCAAAGAAGGCTCTAACCACACTGTCGTTTTCTGATGCGCTGTAGTTTCTGTTTGTCCAAATCCAATGTACAGTATAATGCAATAAACAACTCTATTCTTTTTTAAATGATCTCACAAAGTCACATTTTTCAAGAATGTAGTTGATACTGTAAATATAAGAAAATACTCAAGCATCAGAGGCAGTGCATCATGTCTGCGATAATTGCCCAGACTGCTCTTTTAGTTGTCTTTCTAATCTTGTGATTTTTTTGCTGGGAAACTACCTTCCAGCTGAAAAAGACAATTGTCAACAGGTTTTATAATCCCTTTACTGGGAATATAAATCACTGTGCCAACATTTAGCCATTAAATTTATAAAAATAAGACTTAAACTTGTTTATATTTCCATAGTTTTATGAAGTACAGTAGCTAAAGTGGTGATCGAATAGGATCC